GAATGAACAAGCTCAAGTGGTTGAGTTGCTTGCTGTTGCTGTTGTACTACAAAAGGCATTCTATGATGCTTCTTAAGAGTGCAGGCTTCACACAATTGGTCAAGATTATGTATATTGGGAAAGCCTTTTACTAACTTTCCTTGAGCAAGCAATTTTGAACTTTGAAAATTTAGATGTCCAAACCGTAAGTGCCAAAGCCAAGATTCATCTTTTATAATTGCATTGAGACAATTATAAACTTCACCAAAAATATCAAGTTGAAACATATGATTTTTGCTCAATGGGGCTTTAAAAATAAGCATACCTTGGTTATCTAGAATGGAGAATTGATGATCACGCAAGCTCATAACATACCCTTTTTCAAGTAATTGGCCCACACTAAGCAAATTACTCTTCATGCTTGGAATGTAAAATACATTTGAAATGTACTTGTGATTTCCATTCTTCAAGTTGATGAGAATTCTTCTTTTTCCAATTACTGGTATAGTTCTATTATCAACAAATTTCACTTTTGTGTGAAAGGACTCATCAAGATCAACAAATAGCTCCCTTTTGCCACTCATGTGATTGGTACATCTAGTGTCAAGGAACCATATGTGATAGTTTGGTGTTTCACCAACAACAATGACCATCAAGAGAGCATGGCCACCATCAACATCATCATCTCCTTGTACACAATGAGCCTTTTGAGTATTATCCTTGCATTTGCACTCATTGGAATAATGGCCATGTTTATGACAATGGTAACATTCAACATTGGACTTGTCATACCTTCCTCTACCACATCCATGACCACAACCTTTTGAATTTTGTTGATGGTCGAAGTTTGATTTTTCTTGGTCATTGCCTCCTACTCCATAATTGTTGTTATGACCCCCATGACCTTTGTTGAAGTAGAAACCACGCCCTCGTCCTCTACTACGAGAACCACTGTGCTTTTGACTTGTTTCACCACCTTGATCACCTTTGATAGAAACTTGGCTTTGGAAGACTTGCTTAATTGGCTTCTTTATCTACTTCCCATTCATTCTTTGCTCATGTGCTTCTAATGAGCCTGACAACTCATCAGTAGTCATCTAGGACAAATCATAGGCTTCTTCTATTGTTGCCACAATGTGCTCAAATTTTGGTGTGAGTGTTTGCAAGATTTGCTCCACTTTAGCCTACTCTTTATACTCCTTTCCATATATTTTGCTTTTGTTTGTCAAAGCAAGAACTCGATTGATATAAGTGGCAATAGTCTTAGAAGACTCCATTTGTAGGAGCTCATATTGACATCTTAAGGTTTGGAGTTTTACCTTCTTAACTTTCTTTGCATCTTTGTATGCTGTCATTAGGGCATCCCATGCTTGCTTTCATGTAGTTGCATCTTCAATCTTCTCAAACACTTTATCATTCACCTCTTGATGGATGAAATATAATGCCTTCTTGTCCTTTTTCGTACTCTCACGGTGTGCGTGCTTTTGGGCATCATTAACATTTTCTACAATTTCAGTAACTCCATTCTCCACAACACTTAGCAATTTGTGGTAATCAAAAAGCACCCTCATTTGCACACACCATCGGTTGTAATTTTTGTCATCCAAAATAGGAACTAAAATCTGAACAGGACCATTCATTGTGCCTACTCTGATACCATTGATAGAGTGGGATAAGAACTGCAATAATAAGAGTATTTTTTTTTTTAATCTAAAATGATAGATATGTACTGATATTTTACTTCACTAATAATAGCCTTTATATAGGCAGAAGACATTAACAATACAACCAAATAACTAGCAACTAAATCCTAAAAACAAGGCTACATGGCTAACATGCATACTAACACGTCCTGCACTAAGTCCTAAAGAGTAACAAACGAACAAACAAATTGGTTACTAGATAATAAGTGGCAGTAAGACTTATTCAACAGTGAAAACTGCAATAAGATCAAGATTAACAAACCAACAATTTGCATGTAGAATTGTCTCAAAAGACTCTTTCCGCTTTACAATGTTTTGAATAGTGTCATTTTGAAGTTTCTGAATCAAATTCCGTTTTCTACAGATTATCTCAGGTTTGCAGAATTTTGATAGGGATAATGTTGCTGCAGTGGTTATGGCTGCACACAACGTTTGGTTTCTAATCCCTGATCATATATTACCCGTAGATGTCGCTGGGACCAGTTGTAAAGTGGGGAAGGGGGAATATCATTTAAAACGCAGAACACAAATCATTAAGGACGTTTAGTTTTGCATTTTATGTTTTCAGAGAGAAACGTACTAAGAACTGATTATTTTAGTAACAAGAACAAGCCCAGCAAAGCGGCCTGATTCTGACCGAGTTCCAAATCACCTTGAAATTGGGAATCTATTGATAACGGTAAAATAGAGAATAGTTTTCAACAGGAATCAAATTAGTGTATGTTTACTAATAATCATAAAACTGGTTGATTAAATCTCTGCTGTGCAAGTTGGAAACCGCCTAAATGTATGTCTTCAAGTTTGTAATTTACACAAAAGTGATACACAACGCTAACTACATTAGAGAATATACAACATGTCACTGCTGCATCTCCCTCTCCTACTGATCAAACAATAAAGTATCTAACAAAACCAGACTACGACCTACTCATCATAGTCGGAATCATCTTCGGTTTCCTGGTCTTCACCACTTTCCTGCAGTAAATCATCATTTTCAAGAGAAACAGTGCTTAAATATGGTGTGGATTCCGCAAATAATCATTAGATATTTCTTTGGGGCTTTGAAGTAACCTTTAGACATGAAGTATCCTATTCTCAGTGTTCAAATGAAACAAAGATGCCTGGCCTAAACGAAAATGCAACCAAGATGCATGTTTACCTTCCTTTTAATATACTCTGCCATGGCTCTATCGAACTCTGCTCGTTTATCAGTCGCTATATCATAATATTTGACCTTTTCCTGGCAATGGCAGAATACAGATTAGAAGGTTAGAGAACTCAAACAATCATTTCAACCCAAGGGGGTGCAGACTCCAAATTAAAGGTCTCAAGTTTGAAACTTGAGATGGGTGGGGACGGACTTGGGAAAAGAAGGGATCATATCCTGTTGCAAAGCCCATAATCAAATCAAATGTACTAAAAGGAAAATTAAACCTTAAGGGCAATTTAGTTCCCACTAGTGTTTTAATGGTAAAAAAGAAAGTGAGAAAATGGCTTGAGTTGTCCGAAGGCAACATAAATAACAGACAGAGACAGAGGCAGAGACAGAGACACAGACATACATTTCCCATTTACCAATGAATAGCAGACCAACCTTGTGTAAATGTCATGCAGAAGGTAGTAGAGTTCATTAAGTCTCTCCCTTATTAAACAAGAAAAAAAAAAAGTCTGTTGTCTACTTGTAATTATGATATTGATGTCAATACGCAAGAACATTTTTTATCAGTCCATGCTGGTCCAAGCAAAAAAAAAAAAAAAATCACTCTGTTTGAGATCAAAAAGCAAGGCACAAAACAATAGCAATTCTATAACAGATGTAACTAAAAACTAGGCATCAACAAGAAAATCAAAAAGGAAAAAAAAAAATGCAAGAAATTGCAGCGAACTTGAATGTTTATGACACAAACCTCATATGTCATCGTTTTCCACTTCTCTCCACATGCTTTCCCAATCTGAAACAAAAAGAAAAAAAAAAAAAATTGCAGTATTCCTTTACATATGACAGAAAGAGAAAGAGAGGTTAAGCAAAGATTTGGTTTTAAAACTGTACATACATCACGCATTGACTTGACATCAGGATTCTGCTCTTGAAATCCCTTTCGAAAATCCTCCCTTGAATTAAAAATAAAAAAGAAGAAGTGAAATTCAGCATGTACTAGGATAATTATTTTGAAGCACTCCCAAAAGAGCAAAATTTGAGCAATTCTCCAAAAGAAGGAAGACAAACTCGAATTGATATCTTTTTTAAAATACTAAGTAGGAAAATTAAGCTTGCCTACTGCTCTGGAAATTCAAACCATCTTCTATAGCAGTTCAACGTTAATCAAAAATTGATTTCAGAACACACCCACTTGTAGTCATGCTACTTAGGAAGAACACTTGTTATTCAGTTACTAGGAGTTGTGAGAATTAGAAGTGAGGAATTGAATGAATTAAGACGAGAACCCGTAAATGTTTATGCACAGATAATACTCACAAGAAGAAGAAGAAAGCAGTGGGGGGTTTCTTGGGCATATTAGCATCAATTTTTGGGGTTTTCTTCTTCTGCCGCTTCGCAGACCTGAGTCTCTTTGCAGTCGGAGAGGAGGCTGACGATGGACGAGATCGTCCCGACTTTGTGGGTTTCTTCGCCATTTTCCCTCTCCAGAAACTTCTGGTTTGTATAGACGGCTCTCAGAGGAGATGCGGAATGCAATTTGGATCTTAACACTTCAAGGAGGGAAGAGAATACGACATCGTTTACTTCCGACCTAAAACGATGTTTAGCACACAGGGACTAGCCTTTTGCGTTCCGTCCACCCGTAGTCCCGAGCCAACCACACCCCATTATCCCTATTTTTACCCT